GCCTTTTCCTCTCCCGGTGAGCACTCCCAGCTCTCCCAGCCTGGTTCCAGAGGGGCTCCTGGAGAATCTCCATGGCCTCCTCTGGCCTGGCTCCAGCAGCTCCAGCTCCTTCCTGTGCTGGGCCCCAGGGCTGGAGCAGCTCTGCAGGTGGGGTCTCACCTGAGTGGGCAGAGGGAACCCCTTCTCCCAGGCTTGGCTGCTGCAGCCTGCGCTGGGGCCAGGCGGTGCCCTGTCCATATCCCATATCCCTCATCTCACATCCCATATCCCACACCGCTCACCCCGCCGCTGGCCCTCAGTCCCGGAGCGCTCCTGCTCCGCGGGCCGGGGCCGCCCCCGCCCGGAGCCGCCGGGACCCGCAGCTGTGCCCGGGCACCCACGGGCATAATTCCCACCGTAATTCTTCAATTTACAAGGCAGTAAATGAAAGAGGGAGATGGGATTTGCTCAGCTCATTTTCCAGGAGTATTTACTGCTGAGAACGCCACAAAAACCATTTAAACAATTGCTTTTATGACGCAACACACATTAAAGAAACTTCTCTAATATTTTTTTTCACCCCTCTGCCATTTCGTGCAGCGCTGCTGCTGTTGTGCTCAGCTCGCTGCTTTATGGGCTGTTTGGATTTTAATTGGGCTGTAGCCCCAGGGAGCACTGAAACTTGGAGACTCATTTAGCTCTGAGAGTGCTCACAGCTGATCAGGCAGAAAGGCTGGGGCCTACTTTAATGCCTTCTGTCACTTTGGGAGCTGGAAGAGCCGTGTGGGGAGCACAGCACACAGGATGGGGGTGAAACTGATGGTGGTGCCCACATTCCCTGTGCAGAGGGAGTCCTGGGAGGATGGATGCTGTGGCCAGTGGATGCAATGAGGGCAGGCTGAGGTCTGGGATGTTTAGGAAAGGCTTTTTCTCCAGCACAGGAGTGTTGGGGACTCTCCACAACTGGAGGTTTTCAAGGCTGGGTGAAACACAGCCCAGCCCAGAGCTGGTGGCAGACACACGCAAGAAGCAGATGGGAATAAAGACCTCTAGAGCACCTTGTGGTTTTATTATAAACTTTAACTCTTTAACTCAGCCATTCCCAGTGGGTAGTAAGCGCTGCCTTTGGAAGGAAGGCAGCTCTCCATGCTGCTAAACACAAGTAGGAGCTGCATCCCATCTCCCACCACCTGACCACAGGAACAGCAGCCTATGGGGCCAGGTTGGGAGAGCTGGGGGTATTCACCTGGAGAGGGGAAGGCTCTGGGGAGAGCTCAGAGGCCCCTCCAGTGCCTAAAGAACCTCCAAGAGAGCTGGAGAGGGACTGGGGACAAGGGCATGGAGTGACAGGACAAGGGGAATGGCTTCGAGGTGCAGAGGGCAGGGCTGGATGGGATATTGGGAAGGAATTCCCTGTGAGGGTGGGCAGGCCCTGGCACAGGGTGCCCAGAGCAGCTGTGGCTGCCCCTGGATCCCTGGCAGTGCCCAAGGCCAGGTTAGACATTGGGTTGGAGCAGCCTGGGACAGTGGGAGGTGTCCCTGCCATAGCAGGGGTGGCACTGGATGGCCTTTGAGGTCCCTTCCCACTCAAAACACTCTGGGACTCCAGAGCTCTGCCAGGCGCTGCTCACAGCTGGAGCTGTCCCTCCCTGCTGCTGCCTCCCCGGCAGTGTCCCCAAGCCCAGCCATGTCCCCAAACCCGGCAGTGTCCCCAAACCTGGCTGGGTGTGTCCCCAGGCCCGGCAGTGTCCCCAGACCTGGCTGGGTGTGTCCCCAGACCTGGCTGGGTGTGTCCCCAGGCCCGGCGGGGCTCGGGGGGTTCCGCGGCCGCCACTCCGCCCGCAGCCACCGGAGGGCGCCCGCGCTCCGCTCTCGGCCGGGACCGGCGGGAACGGGCTGGGGAAATAACGGGGAGAATAACGGGAAAATAATGGGGAAATAACAGGGAGAATAACGGGGATAATAACGAGGAAATAATGAGGAAATAATGGGAAGAATAACGGGGGAATAACGGGAAAGTAATGGGGAAATAACCGGGGAATCAACGGGGAGAATAACGGGAAAATAACGGGGAAATAACGGGAGAATAACTGGAAAATAACGGGGGGAATAACGAAGAAATAATGGGAGAATAACAGGGAAATAACGTGGAAATAGCGGGGAGAATAACAGGAAAATAACGAGGGAAGAAGGGGGGGAATAACGGGGAGAATAACGAGGAAATAACAGGGGAAGAACAGGAGAAGAACGGGGAAATAATGGAGAAGTAATAGGGAAATAACGGGGAGAATAATGAGGAAACAACGGGGGGAGAAGGGGAAAATAAAAGGGAAATAACCGGAAAAATAATGGGGGAATAACGAGGGAATAACAGAGGAAATAATGGGGAAATAAGGGGGGGAGAAGGAGGAAATAACGGAGGAATAATGGGAGCAATAACGGGAGGAATAATGGAGGAAATAATGGGAGTAATAATTGGAGAAATAATGGGGAAATAACAGGAGAAGAAAGGGGAAATAACAAGGGGAATAACAGGGGCAGAACAGGGGCAGAATGGGGAAAATAACGGGGGGAATAATAGGGGAAGAATGAGGGAATAACGGGAAAATAACGGGGGAATAACGGGGAAATGGGCAAAGGAGGTGCCGAAGTGCCTGGTGCAGGGTGTTACCCAGCAGCTCCCATCCCCACCGAGCTGTGCCGAGTGTTTGCAGCCCCGGTGGAGAGCCAGGGAAACAGGGTTTGACATCATTCAAGCACCCGAGTCAGCCTAAGCAAGAGTTCCATGGAACTACGGAGTATCCTGAGCTTGAAGGAAGCCACAGGGATCATCCAGCCCAGCTCCTGGCCCTGCACAGACGCCCGGGGAGCCTGGTCAGTGCCCCACCACCCTCTGGGGAAAGAACATTTCCCTGGTAGCTAGCCGAACCCTCCCAACACAGCTCCATGCCGGTTTGGAGGACAGGATGTCAGCTCTGCTGCAAATCAGTGGCTGTTTCTCTTGGGACCCTTTCCAAAAGGTTCTCAATCCTTCACCTTGTTTCTTCTTTGTAAAGTCCTTTTGCTACACGCACTTCCAAAGGATCCTCGACACAAAGCAGCCCTGCAAGCCCGAGTGCTGGCCTGAATCGATGCCACTCACTTGTTTACCCTGTGAATGGCCAAAGAGCAGAGGCAAAACTGAAGTGCTCAGCTTGTTTCTGCTTTCTGAGATGTTGATCCAAAGCGAGGAAGAATATCTCTAATTTCTCCACGGGAAGGGAAAACCCACTTGTGATCCTACCTGCTCTTCAGAAGGGAAAGATTTGTCCCTCTGCTGGGTGCCAAACCCAGCAGGACCCAGGGTGGCCTCATGTCCTAGGGCTGCAGCTCACAAGAGCTCCAGTACTGCTCCAGCAAGTGAGATCCACTCCTAGGCTTGGAGCTCAGCAAAATAAACACACAGGAAAATAAATACACTGTGAGGTTGGCAGGCCCTGGCACAGGGTGCCCAGAGCAGCTGTGGCTGCCCCTGGATCCCTGGAGTGTCCAGGACCAGGCTGGATAGGACCTGGAGCAGCTTGGGACAGTGGAAGATGTCCCTGCAATGGCAGGGGTGGCACTGGATGGGCTTTGAGGTCCCTTCCAACACAAATCACTCTGTGATTCCATGATTCCATGTGATGGCTGTGTTTTGGCCCAAACTCCCAAAAAGCAGAAGCACCTGAGTTATTCTGACTTTTATTTCATTGCTTCTTAGTCCACACAGTCGGTATAAAAAAAAAAAAAAAAAAAAAAAAAAAAAAAAAAAAAAAAAGTAGAACCCCATAAAAAAACAAAATTAATCAAAAAAAGCAACAGTGTCTGGAGTCCTCAGAGGCAGCCCGGGGTCTGTGCTGGTGCCTGTTCCATTCATGGCCAGACTCGTTGCTGACAGACAGAGGACTCACATCTCACTCTGGTGCCAGAGCCACACGGGCTCCAGCCAGAGCTGCTTCTGTTCCTCTGCACCACGGAGGGGAAAAAGGAATCTTGGTTATAAATGCTTTATTAAAAATAATAGTAAGAGCAAATCTAAGTACAAAAGCAGTTATAGCTCATTTATATTACACAGAATTATTTCTCATTTCTAGCTTGGTTGTTTACCTCAAGGTCGTTAACTGAATTTCCAGTGACTAAGGTTAAATGGCTTAGCAGGGTAAGGAATGGCAAATAGATAGCACCATTTCATACATCTGGTATTGGATTTCAGGGACAGACTGGGCTGGCTGCTTTCTCAGGGCACTTCAGCTCCACGGCAAGGACAGAGCACGTTCCAGGCTGGGAGCAGCAGTTCCCAGGGCTCGGCTCGGCACAGCCCAACGCAAGGGAGCACGGCTGGGCTGGATTGCAGCTCCACCTAAGTGATTTAAAAGCCCAAATTCCCAGCGGGTGTGGTGGGAAGGCAATGGGACTTAGGCACGTAAGTCATTTAGGCACTTGGGGCAATCAAAGCCTTTGCTCCAAAATCCTTCAAACCTTTTGGAAGCATCTCCCGTCAGATCTGGACGTGCCCTTTGGATCACAGCATGTGGCAGGAGCAGGGCCCAGCCCTCCGGCTGCAGGACCAGCGTGACTGATACACGCCAGCCTCAAACCAGAGCTGGGGGCCCTGACAGGGCAACACGGGCTGGGGCAGGGCAGGAGAGTTCAGCTCAAAGGGGATTTTGCATGAGAGAAAAATCACTGCGCTCTTGTTACACTGTTAGGAGTAAGAGTTCCTTAGGCACTTGCTTTAGGCTTTAAAACAGCACATGGTCAACAGAAGCAAACAAGACTATGTACATATATGTAAAAAGTGTTATAAATAGGTTTTTTAAACCATAGATACTATATACATCTTCAATTAACAAGGAACTCTTTGAGTGTTTCCTCTGGGGGTTGGTTTGGTTTGGATGGGAGGGTTTATTCCTTTTTTTTTTGTTTTTGTTTTTTTGTTTTTGGTTTTGTTTGGTTTTTTGTTTGGTTTTTTTTGTGTTTTTTTTTGTTAATTTTCTTTTTCATCTTCTCGTCTATTCTCCCCTGCCTCCGTCTCCTGTGAGGCCATTGCCAATGCCCCTGTCACACCGGGCCACGTCCCGCAGCGTCACTCGCGCTTCCGGAGGATGACATAGATGATGCCGCTGGCCAGGGCCAGGGGGAAGGCCAGCCACGCCAGGATGTAGGCGAAGCCGTAGGAGAGGTTTTCTGAGGCGTGGTGCCAGTCCGTGTGCCTCACTGTGAAGATGGCAGCGCCACTCATCACACACAGCCCTGCAGGGGAAGCACAGGGGATGTCAGTCTGGGATGTCTGGGAGCCCAGAGTCACACAGGACAGCACCCAACACCAGCACGGGAACTGCCTTTGTTATTGTCCCCTTGGACCCTGTTCCCTGGAAAACTGGGAGTCTTCACATTTGGGGAGGGGATGCTCTAGGCTCTGGCCTGCCTGGAGGTAAGCAGGGATATCTCTGCCATGCCCAGCAAGCAAAGCCAGAGGCTCTGGAGCAGACCAGGCTGGAGCATCACCTGGGCTAACCCATCCCTCAGACAGCCCCAGATCAGGGCTTCTGCTCCAGACCAGCCCCACTCCCCTGGTGCCTTGCTTAAAACCCTGGTCTGAGCCACTTCCCTGCAGTGCTGCAAGAGCTCAGACATGGAGCTGGGCTTTCAAAGTAAGAAGGTTTCTGTGTCACCTCTCTAGGTGATAAAAATCACAAACCCAACTGGGCCTCAGGATGTTCTGGCTGTGATCCCTTATCCTTCACAGCTGCACCAGAAGCTCATCTGCAAACTCCATTCCCAGCAAACCCCGCTCCTTGAAAAAACACTGCTCCTTGAAAATCCTGGTCCCCACAAACCCTGTTCCTTGAAACCCCAGCTCCTTGCAAACCCGTCCATGCCCATGGCTCCCTCCTCTTCCCTGGCACCCCCTGGCCAGCCAGGGCTCGTGCAGGTCCCAGGGGTGTCCGGCCAGGCCCAGCCCTGGTGGGCAGCGTTTAAGTTTTGTTACAAACATCAGGGGTGAGCACTGCCCGGAGCTCACACAAAGCCACCTCTATTCCTGCCCCAAACAAGCTCTTTGAGTCAATCCCAGCAGTTCTATTATTCAGTCGGGGCTGTTGTTGGAGCTGAGTTCCAAATCCCCTGCCTGGCCCTCAGGACCACCTACATTTCAGCACCGTGATATTTGAGCTGTAATTCCACTTGACACTGCTCCTTTTGTTTGGGGAAAGTGCACAAGTGGGAATTCACTTCATTAAGGCACTGCCCGAGCAGTTTCCATTCTCCAAGCACGGGAGCCAACTCCCACTGCCCAGCCCATGCACAGAGAGCACAGCCATTGTCTGGGGGACAGGGGACAGGCGTGTGGCCACCCGCTCACCTACAGCCAGCCACACACAGCAGCGATTGTCTGCAGTAGGACTCTGGCCAGCCAGAGGCGAGGGCTACAACTGCACTTCTGGGGCACCTGTTCTGCTCTGAGAACACCCTGGGCAGGCAGGCCCAGCTGCAGCCAGCTGCCTGCACTGCTGCAAGCAATAATGCACCATCCCTGCAGAGCCTGGCTTTGGGAACATGCTCCAGCCTTGCTTTGGCAGGTCAGGAGGGCAAACACTTCCTGACATTTGTTCCCAGGGTTTGCTCGTGTTGGAGCAGCCCCAGCCCTGCAGAGGAACCAGGCTGGGGCTGTGCAAGCTCCAGGGCAGCTCTCCAAGCCAGGTGTTTGCAAACAGCTGTGGGATGTGGGCAGGCACAGCCCTGGAGGCTGAGCCCACAGGGTGCAGCTCTGGGGTGAGAGAGGTGGGAGAGAAGAGATAAAAGTGAGGATGAGAAGGATGCAATAGTTGGGTCAGACCCCAAGAGGCCCAAACCAATGTCTCTGCCATGCTGAGGTATAAGGAGTTATCCATGGATATGCTGGACCCACCAAGGATGGAGGGGAGCCTTTGAGGGCCTTTTGATGCTCTTGATCCCATCAGGACAAATCCAGCTCGGCTTTGGGGATGATTCCAAACTGTGTGAAGGCGCTGGGGACGATCCTGCCTGGCTGCTGCACCACAGACCAAAGTGGCCTCACACTTCTCTTCTTGCCCTTCCCTCTCCTGCTTGGTATCCCTGAGATGCAGGCAGTGGGCACCAGCCCTGCCCTCCTCCCTGGCTCTCAGGGCAGCACTGCCCAGCTCTGCCACCCAGCAGAGCCCACTGCTCCTGCCCTGACTTCCCACAAGCAGCAAGGAGACCAGAACAGGCTCAGCTCCTGTGACCATAGCTGTTCCCACCTGCAGGCAGGATCTCCTGGCAGTGCTGGCACAGCCATGTCCTATTTCTTGCCAACAACCCTGACATTTAGGGTCACAAAGATCAAAACTGACCTGAGCCTCCTCCTCCAGCCCTGGCCAGGGGGAGCAGCACGGATGGCCACCAGTGCCCACCTCTGCATGGTCCACCTGGATCCAGAGCTCTGCCTACAAGTTCCCCTGGCCATAGGAAATGTTGATGGGATGAGGACACATTTTCTCTGTCCTTCATACTGGCTGGGCATGGCATTAACCCATAGCTCAGAGATTGTAGGTCCGTGTACGACCCTGCATCCCCTCGAGACACCCAGCACAGCTACAATCCCATTTCCTCCTCCTCTGACAATGAGGACTTAGCAGCAATCACTCAGGAGAGAGAAGCCTTGGTCTATTAGAGAAGCTCTCAGGCAGGTAATTGCATTATTAATGCCCATTTCCCCTCCTTGGCTCCATGGCTCTAAGCAGTTTCCATACATCTCTTTTTCCAGAGATGGTGAACTGATCTGAGCTCCACCTACACTGTGGCCAAGCAGATCCACTCATCATGGATTTCATGCCGAGAAATGTTAGCTCTGGATTTCTCCAGGGTTTGGGAAGGCCAGTTGCTTAGAGGATGCCCAGAAACTTTGTCTAAACTCAGTGAATGAGTTTTTCCACTGATAAAATAGCAAGATCTCGGGTGCCTTCTAGTTTAACATCTAAAGCTCTACAAAAGAATCAGTCTCCTTCCCAGACACTCTGTCCTAATTCAGCCAGGACCTCGAAGCACAATTACATTTTTTAGCCTGAACTCTTGAAAATCCTCTCCACTGGTTTCATACGTGGAAACATAAAGAGAGCCAGTGACTTTACAGCATCAGCAATTGGGGAACTGCAGCATAGGACGTGAGCTGTGGCTCCTTTCTAGCACTGAGTTCTCAAAGAGTTAAAAATAGCAGCTCAGTCCAAGCCAGAGCTCACCCTGCAGCTCCAGGGCTCTGTGCTCGTGGGGAAAGCACCAGGAGCCCTCATGGCAAGTTTATAAATAGTCACCGAGCCCTCTTTTGCCAAAACAGGATCGTCACGACTTTCCCCACCCTGCCAGCAGCTGTGGAAGCCTCACCCAGCCTGGCGAAGGGTCCCAGAGCCAGCACAGCCACACTGGACACCCAACATCCCACCCCGAGCCCTGGGGAACAGGCAGAGCTCTTGTTCCAGCATCCCTGTGATCCTGCCCCCAGCTCTGTCCCAGTGGCTCTGGCACCGTGTCCCTCCTGTGCCTCCCTTGCTGGGGCAGAGACCCTCTTGTACCTTGCCTGTGCAAGGGCAGAAGAGCCTGGATGCACAATGGCCCAAGAGCTGGACCCCATCCCAGGTGTGTGGGACCTCAACACTCCTGAAATATTCATCTCCCTTCCCTTCCCTTCCCTTCCCTTCCCTTCCCTTCCCAGGCAGCAGCTCCAGGGCCCTCCTGATGTGCCCCAGGAGCTGCTCGTTCCCGCCTTGCCCTGTCCCTGCCCTCAGCCTGGCCCCGGGTGGCAGTGCCAGTGCTCAGCCCCGCTCACCTGCCAAGATCTGGAAGACTCCGGTGATGTAGAACCTGCCGCCCTTGGTGAGTGTGAAGAGCTGGCAGAAGAACAGGAACAGTGACAGGACGCTGAAGATGACGGAGAGGATCATCATGGCTTGGACAGACTGCAGCCATTCTAGGGACAGACAGAACACCTCAGCGAGGGCACCATGGAGCCCCTGCCGTGCCCATGGCATTGCCACCAGCCCACCCTGGCTCCCACGGGCTTTGAGAGCAGCTGGGGGCTGTACCCAGCACGGCCCCAGCTGCTGAGATCCCCAGCACGGGCCCGCTGCCCCGGGATTTCGGGTGCCATGTGGATGCCATGGATCAGCTGCTGGAATACAAGGGATCACAGGCCTGGGCACTGCCTCAGGCGCATTTACCACAAAACAGAGCAGAGACAAAAGTCCTGACCTGCAAAAAGCAGACAGAGCCTCTCCCCCAGATCCATGCCAGGCCCTGGCTGTTCAGCTGTGCTGCAAACACCAAAGCCATGTGCAACAAACTCTGAGACAGCGTGCTGGCCAAGCTCCGAGGGCAAAGAAACACACGGGAATGAAAACTCCCCCTGCCCCTGTGGAGCTGAACCTTTCGGAAGCCCTCCCCAGCTGCCAAACACAGCTGTGTCCCAGAACAGACCAGTTAAACCAGCCCATGTGAGTCACTGCTCAGCTATTTCCAGGCTTAGTGGGTGTGTAACTCCCCACGTAAAAAAAAATATAAATAAACAAACAAAATGCAGCACCATGCCATGAGCTCCTGCAGCTTGACAGAAAGAGGCAGTGCTCATGGATACCTTTCCTTACAAAGTTTGAAATAAAAATGCAGGACTCAGTGCAGGTAAACTGAGCCACAAACCATCCAGTGAAAGGCAGAAAAATCCTGCTAGGTGAAATGAATGGGCTAACTCCGTCCCCAAACATTAAAGTAATTTATAACACTAGGGGCCGAATTCTCAGGTGGGATTAGGCAGCACTGAAACCTCAGACTCAGTCCCATGTTCCTGCCACAGTTTTACCCCCACCAATTTCAGTCCCCTGCCTGCAGAACTGGCTCCCTGCGGCAAATGGCTGAAATAGAGCAAAACCTCCAAACAAAACTGCCCTTCAGCTCAGCCACGTCTGACCTTGGAGCAGCAAAGGAGGCAGCTGGTACTGTCCAGGGCAGCGTGTGCCCCAGAGAAGCGACCACACTGGGTCCCCAGCAAATCCCTGCGAGCTGCACTCAGGGAGGGCAGAGTGGAGTTTGGACTGGAGAATGTGCACAGCCTCCTGCTGGGATGGCAGTGATGGTCCATGGGCACTCCCAGCAAATCCACAGCTGCGGGAACATCCTGTGCCACTCAGTCACATCTATGGGTTTGACTTTGGACCAGGATTTCTACCCCTTGTCTTTGCCTCTTGTCTCAGGATGTTCAGGAAATGGAGCAGAGGCAGTCCCTGCTCCCAAAGCTCTGGAACCACCCAGAGCAGTGCCTGCTCCTCACAGCTAGCCTGGTCCTTTCCCTCCCTGCCACACTTCCCATTTCAAATACTCCCCAGCTGCTTCCATTCCTTAGGAAGGAGCAGCTATTGCTACTTCCAGGAAATCCCAGCATGGATTTCACTGCAATGTGCACACAAAAATGTCCAATGTCCCCCTAGCTCAGGTAGCCGGGCAGGGAGACTGCCCCTGCCTCAGCCCCACTTGCCCCTTCAGCTCTGGCTGTCCTCTACCAGTGAGAAATGGGATGAGGCAGCTCCAGCACCACCAAAATCATCATCAATCCTTGCTCAGATCAGACCAGAGAAGTGTTTGGAGGATGTGCAGCTGCTGAACTGCACCTCCTTCCATTCCTCAGCACAGACAGGGCTCTCATCCCAGCGCAGGGAAGTTGAGCTCCCCTCTCACCCCTTCCCAAGCCCTGATGCTGTGTCCAGCTCCAGCACTGGCTGAGCCAAAGCCAAGCCCTGCAGTTTCATCCAGAACCAGAAAGTCAAATCTTTTGTGATTGCAAAGGCCACGGGATCCGGCGCGAGAGGAGCCCTTTCTGCTGGGAGGTGGATGCTCCCACTGCTGGTTATTTTAGGAGAGGGCTGTCTAGACGGAAAGCTGAGCTGAGCTGCCCTTTAATTGCATCCGCCTCCCCTGCCTGGTTTTTGGTTCTGAATGCAAATGATTTATAGGGGCTTTGCAAAATCCCATTGTAATCAAGAGCCATGTCAGAGGCAGAGAAAGGAGCACTGAGGGGGGAGCCCACCGTGGCCGGAGGGTTTGGGCAGCCAGCCTGGGAGCAGGGAAATCAGGAGATGATCCCACAGAGCAGAGCTCTGGGCCGGCTCATATCCAGCCCTTTGCTGACTTTTGTTGGCCTCCTGTGTGAAAACAAAGGGCAGGATCCCAGCCCAGGACTGAGACCCACGAGAGCAAGTTCCAGAGCTCCACTAACTCCATGCCAGCTGCCCACAGACTCCAGCTGGATTAGGACAGCTAATTGCCTTTAATACATTTAAAATCATCGCTGTAATGGCAGGTAAGGTTTTTACCTCCCCAGCCCCACATGCCTTTAACCCCTTGGCTGTTAGTGCAGTGTCCAGCCCTCAGGATTCCAAACACAGCAAGTTTCCCGGAGCTGCAGCCGGGCTGTCAGCACTGTTTACTCCCAGGCTGTTATTTGTGGTTTCCCCTGGGCAGCGAGCTGGTTATCCCATTTTCCCCTGCATCTCTTCAGCTCTGTGTTTATATCTTTGTTCTTCAGAAGGAAGAAGAAAAGGAAACAACGTGGAAAGGACAGATAACACCCTGCATGCTGCTTCCGGAGACAACCCGGAGGGAGTGGGTTTAGAGCCCTTTCAGGCAGCCAGAGACAAAGCAAGAAGTTTTTACAAAACAAATTTGAATATTCCTTTAAGTTCTGCAAGTCCTGATATGCTCACAGCACTGCTTACAACAGTAGAGAGAAGACTTCAGCCCTAGGATGATAAACACCATGTTTCACTGCCCTAAAATCCAGCACGAAAGAAACCCAGAGCAGAAATTGGAACCCAGAGCAGAAATTGCAGATGAATCTCCCAGACAGACAGCAGAGCCTCAGCCCTGCTTGCAGGGAGGTTTTATGCCCTGAGAGGACTGACACGGCAGGGAAACAGGTGCCCTTGGCCGGGAGCAGAGGCCTTGAAGGACAGGCATTGCCTCCCCAGGGTTTAATTCACACCCCCACACCCTCTTTGGTCCCAGCCAAGGAGGAAAACTGAAGAGCACACTGAAGACACTTATTTGAGTACTCAGCTTATCTACTGCTGTGAGAACTCCCTAAATTAGTGCTGTGCATTAAAAACCTCACCGTGCTGGGATCTGCAGCTGATGGGAACGTTTGGCAGATGGCGTTTTCCCTTTGCCAAGTGTGTATGCTCTGTACACTTACAAAGCAATCTCTTCTGAGGAAGAAAACATCCATTAAGGAGGTAACTGTAGCATATAATACAGCCAAAGCTGGAGGGAGGGAAATTCATGCCCCTAGCTGTAAAACCTGCTGCTGCCATGATGCAAATGAAATCTCAGCAGGGTCAGAAGCAGCACAGGTACAAAGGCACCAGCCCAGGGCTGCCAGGAAAAGCCACATTATCTGAGCAGAGTTTTCCCAGAGCAGATTCTCAGGTGTCAAGGCCTGACCAAGATCTTGAGCTCAGCTCACATCCTCCCCTCTGAAGTGGCCAGGTTGCAGCAAAACACTGGGACTTGCAGTGGTTTTGATGTTCAAACACCCTGAGGAGTGTGGGAAAACGGTGAACTGGAGATGCAGAAACACCAGCTCAGCTGCAGCACTCTCTGGGCTGCACCTCAGACACAGCTCCCTCAGAACCCCAGGATCAGAAAGGCTCAGGTGCCTCTGGTGCTGCTCTGCACAGCCCACACCCCCACTGCCCCAGCCCAGAGCTGCAGGGACGTCTCTCCTGCAAGGACATCTCTCCTGCAGGGACAGCTCTCCTGTTGGACACCTCTCCTGTTGGGGACACCTCTCCTGTTGGGGACACCTCTCCTGTTGGGGACACCTCTCCTGCAATGACACCTCTCCTGCAGGGACATCTCTCCTGCAGGGACATCTCTCCTGCAATGACACCTCTCCTGCAGGGGACACATCCTCCCCGTCTGTCCAGCTGGGCACTGTGCTGTCTTAAGGAAAAGCCAGGGCAAATCCAGCTCCACTGCAGCTTTGTCCTGTTGTGGCCCAGCCTCCCCCCAGCACTGTCAGACATTCCCAGCTGGTGCTGTTGGATGCTCAAGGCAGGAGCAGCAGCTCTGGCACCCAACAGCTGCTCCTTTCCAGTCCTCCCCTCTCCATCCCCTGGGAATGCTCACACTGTGCTGGATCGAGGTATTCCTGGGAATCCCACCGGTACAGGAAGATTCTAAAGAGCTCCCAAGTCGTTTGTGAGGGCCAGGGGGTGAGCAGGAGGGAAACCCTGGGGCTGCAGGGAGGCACTGACTGAACACAGCGCTCTGAGTCCTGTCCAAGGCCTCCTGCTCCTCTTCTGCAGCTCCTTCAGATGGAGATGAACCCCTCAAGCCTCTATCTTCTCCTCTCCTCCTCCTCTCTTCCTCTCGGCTCTGCTCCCTTTCCTTCTCCTTGAAGCTCCATCCAAGCAGTCCATGAGGCTGGGACATGCAGAGCTCACGAGAGCTGCCACACTCCCACCTCCCACTGGAACTCACATCCCACAGAGGCCACTCCTGATGCAGCTGGGGCAGCAGAAAGCTGCTGGCACCACGAAAAACTCCTTCCAACAGCTCCACAAAGCCCAAGGCAGGCCCTTTCCCAGACCCTCGGTGCAGTGGCTCTGACCTCCTGCTGGCCTGTGCTGAGGTGGCAGATCCATCATCCCATGCCCAGATCCTCCCAAGGACTCCAGTGCCAGCTCCCAGTGAGGTCCAGTTCAGGCAGCAGGAGCGGGCAGCAGTGGTGCCTTGGCCACAGACCTGGTGCAGAGTCACTCAGCCTGTGCCCACAGGGACATCCCAAAGCCTCATCAAGGCAAAAAAATGTTGGTTGAAGGTTTTCCCAGCACCGCACTCTGCAGGGGATTCCCCCATCCTTTCTTCTGGTTTGACAGTCATCGTTTGCCCACATGTTGCCTTCTTCCTCCCATTCCTCTGTGGGCCAGAACACAAATACAGGGAAGGTTGTCTGACAACCCCAACTCTCACAGAAAAAATGGGAGCCAAAGACATCTGGAGCAGCTGAGAAAAAAACAGCACCAGTTCCTGACTTCTCCTTTTCAGATGCTCTTTGTAAGAAGAACAACCATTAAAAGTGGTTTTAAGCAGAGAAAATCTCTTTCATATTGAAGGCAAGAAAGTTATGGGACAAACTGATATGAAATATAAAATATTCTCTTGGAATAGAAAACTTTTAGATTTTAACAGTAAATTCTTTACTCAGAGGGTGCCCTGGCACAGGGTGTCCAGAGCAGCTGTGGCTGCCCCTAGATCCCTGGCAGTGCCCAAGGGAGGTTGGACAGGGCTTGGAGCAGCCTGGGACAGTGAAAGGTGTCCTTGCCCATGGCAGGGGTGGCACTGGGTAATCTTTAAGCTCCCTCCCAACCCAAACCATCTGGGATCCTATGAACGCCCCTCAGCTGATTCCAGAACACAAAGGGATGCGTTCCAGTCTCCCAGAGCTGGCAGAGAGGGTTCAGCTCTGCCTGAGTTAAGCCAGTGTCACCTGTTATTAATGACATTAATAAAATCTGCTCTGGGTAACCACCTGGGCTTTGCTCGTGGCCATCACATCAGCAAATCAGCAGGGGCATCACAGGTCCCCCAGCACTCTGTGGTTGGGGACTGGCAGCCAGGCACTTCTCAAGGTTTAGGGGTTTCTTTTCTTTTTAAAACAGCCCCAAACCACCAGCCTGCCTGTGGACAAGCCACCCACAGGAGAAACTGTGAGAAAACAACAGGAGAAACGTCTCCTGCCATTACAGAAGGATGTGGGGATCTCCATGGATGGCCTCCCTTGCCTCCCCACTTTCAGCACTCGCACCACGATCAGAGTAGAACAGCAGCAGAAAAGTCTTCTTTCCTGCATAGAACATTCTGCTGCGGAAAGAAAAGGCCATTTTTGGAGGAAAAAATATCCCTGTCTGGAAATCTGGGATGGAATCTCCTTGAGAGCACTTGCTGGGCCCGGCCACGGGGCCGCACAGCCGGGCTGGCACACGGCCCTGCCGACCCACAGTCCCGGGATTCAGAGCTGAATTCCTGAGATAAGTCTTTTCCAGGAATGTCTGACAGCGCAAACGAAGCAAAGATTGCAACATTTTTTCCATAGTTCTCAGCCTCTTGAAGAAAAAAAAAAGCATTATCTAACAGCAGATGCAAAAATCAAAGCAACAAACAGGCGGTTGAACACGGAGAGGGAGTGGGAATATGCCCTGGGCTCCTGCTGGGATGGCTCAGCCCTCACACACACCGAGCCTGCCAAGAGCAATCTGGGAGGTGGGAGCTCAGCCCCACCGAGGCCATGCAGTCCAGCCCGTGCCCAGGGGCTGCTGATGTCCCAGGGATCCTCACCTGGGCAGCGCTGTGCTCAGACCTGGCGCTGCTTTGCTGCCTGCTCCATCCCCATGGGATGATCTGTAGGCTGAGAAGCACAGCCCAGAACCTGCCCCGGGGTGAAATGAAAGCAAGTCCTGCTGGCGCCTGGATTTAAAAGTTCTGCTTCTCTTTGGGCATCCACACAAAGGTCACTAAGAAAAGAATCCCTGTGGGACAGGACAGAGGAGGCTCATCTGAGACCAAGGGACCACCACAGCACCCCTACCCCCCAAAGTCCCCATCCACGATGAACACAGGTGACCCAGCACCATCTAATTCCCAAATTCCACTCACTGAGTCCCACTGCCTCTTGAAAAGAGAAGTAACCACACCCCAGAGGCCACCATGATGGCCAGAGCAAAAACTGTCCTTGTGGAAAGCCTGAAAGTTCTGTGAAAATTCCCAACGAGGATTCCTTTCTGTTTCCCCAGAGCACTTTGGCACTCCAGGATTAGCACTCAGTACCTCCTAGGCACAGGTAAATTAATTTTTATGGCTCTCTGGAGCCTACTGCAGCACAGCCTCTGTTCTGAGAGCTGTGACCAAGGATGGCTTGAGGTATATAATATGGAATCGTTCCTAATTTTGAAAATAAGCATATTCCTAGGAAAGGGGTGTACAGATGAGGCAGGAGATAAGCATGAGCCTTGGAGGTGGTTCTGCCAGGGTCCTTACCCTGTGACCTCACTGCTGCTCCAAAGAGGGGCCAACAGCAGCTTCTGGCAGCAGTGACAGGAGAGGGAGGAAGCAGGACCCGCTGGAAAGGAGACCATGTGGCATTTTTGTTGCTTTTACAAACAGACCTTAAAAGCCCTACATATGCCCAGGAAATATCCTTTGATTTTATGTTCCTACAGCAGTGGTGGGCTCTGGACACTGCATCCAGGGTGCCACAAGTCCTCAGCACCATGGCTCCCACACCCTGGCTGCAGGGTGAATGGGACACAGGCTTTCGTCCAAGCAAAACCCCCTTCTCCTGATGCCAGAGCAGAACCTTTGGAAACATGAGAGCTGTCAGAGAGCTGCTTAAACCTTGAGCACAGAGAACTTCTACTCAAAGAGCAGCTCACTGAGGCACTTCATCCTGGAATCCCAGAATGGTTTGTGTTGGATGGGATGTTACAGATCCCACCTGCCATGGGCCGGGACCTTCCACTGAATCAGGGCTATCAACCCAACTCAGCTGCTCAGCTACATTTTCAACAGGATCATCTTGACTATGATTCCTTTAATGATGAAAAAGCAGCACTGGAAAGGCTCCAGCTGCCCTGGGAACAGGCAATGGGCACTCCCAGCACGGGGCAGGACCATCGGGTGTGCGGAAACCACCCAACCACAGCTTGGACAAGCCCCTCTCAGCACTGACAGCCCCGACAGAGCATCCTGTAAACATCCAGAAAGAGCGGTGCAGCTTTGAAAAGCGAAAGATTTGGGGAGGCTTTAGAGCGCTGGGCTCTGGGACTCCTGGGGGCAAGCGCTGCCTTTCATTACAGCCAGGACTCAGCAGTTTCGGAGCTCGCATGACTGGCCCTGAAGCGGGGCTGCCTACGCTGCAATAGCCAGCCCAGCCAGCCCGGTGCGGGACACGGCTCCAGAAGGCTCCGGGCCCGGGATGCGATCCAGCCGCTCCCCGGCTGGCCCGGACACCAGCAGGCGTCAGCAGAGACCAGCGCTGGGATGGGAGCGGCCCTGCCAGCGCAGCCAGAGCCCGGGCACAGCGAGCAAGGTGGGACAGAGCAGCAGCATCGCCTCCACACGTGGGTAACACCAGTGGTTCGCTCCCAAAGGCTGCGGATTCTGAGCGCTGTCTCCAAAAAGCCTCTCACAGCCCCCGTTGGCTGAGGGACCCTCGGAAGTATTTCATGCTCCCCGTGTGCCTGTGTCCCCCTCTCCAGGGCCACAGGGCACCGCTCTGCTCCTACCCGGGCCCGCATTCCCAGGGACAGCGGTGACATTCACAGCTGCTGGCACTGGGGGCTGCACTGGGACAATCTGCTTCCCCATGAAAGCAAAAGCCAGGCTAAGAAAACAAATTCCAGCCTCAGCACCACTGACATTAGCTCTGTCTTCCAGGGAAACTGAGGCACAGGCTTGCCCAGCACTCTGACACGGATTTTGTGTTCCTGGCGCCACTGGTCACCCTGGAATCGGCATGTCACGGTGTCTCAGCACACTCTCCTCCCCTGTTGACCTCAGCAAACAGTTCAGGGGTGATGTCACCCAGTGTGACATCAGCCTTCACCAGCTCGGTCCCGCGGGGGCTGTGCAGGTGCACGGGATGAAGGGCTGAGCACTCAGCACAGCCCCACAGCAAACCCAGGGCCAGGGCTGGGCCCAAACCTCAGCCTGTTCCTGCGGCACAACGGTTCCAGGTAGGGAACAGGTGTCCTTTGGAGACAGAGTGTCCTCAGGGCCCCGTGTGCATCCTTCAAACCCCTCACAAGCAGAGCAACAGGAAGCTGTGCCAAAAAGAGCCCCACAGCCTCCAGCAGGGTGACAGGCGCCCAGTGACCCTGCCCCAAGGAACACCTCGTGTTTGTGCATTCGAGAGAAAAAATGTACTAATAACAGGAGACCCCCAAAAGGGCTCGACCAGTCACGGCCAGTGCAGCTGAGGGTGTTACCCTGCCCTGGTGCTGCCAGGACCTGCCCCTCAGCCCGAGGGCAGCCGGGCAGAGCCATGGGCAGCAGCTCTAGTCCTCGTCCTAAGACCCATCACAATTTCAGAGACTGAGAGGGGGAGCAATCCCCCACTGCCAGGCCAGCCCCGTGTCCCACAGTGGGACACAGCAGAGCTGTGCTCCTCCAGCGGGGGACAGAGCAGAGCAGGCAAGGGCATGGGGTGGACGCAGGAACATCCAAGAAGGAATTCCAAATAATCCGCATGGGCTAATCCCTCTTGATTCCATAGGAGCTGGCGGGAGAACGAAAGCGGCGGGCGGGAGCAGCCCTGATCCCGGGGAGCACAGCCCTCATCCCAGGGGGGACACACAGCCCCCATCCCGGGGGAACACACGGCTCCCATCCCGGGGGAACACACGGCTCCCATCCCAGGGGGGACACAGCCCCCATCCCAGGGGGGACACAGCCCCCATCCCAGGGGGGCACTCACCATTGGAGGAGGATGCCAGGCAGTAGAAGGAGGCTCCGGTGGTGCAGTTCTGCCACAGGTCTGACGCGTGGTCGCCATTCACCAGCCATTGCTGCGGGACAGACACAGCCCGTGAGCAGGGCCCGGGGAGGAACAGCCACCCGCGGCCGTGTCCCCCCAGCCCCAGCCGTGTTCCCCCAGGCTCCGGCACGGAGCAGCCGCAGCCCCGCACGTGCCTGCCCGGCCAGGCGTTCCCAGGAACACGCTTGTAGAGAGGGGTTTGGAAAGTAAATCCCGATATTTGCCCTTAACTGCTTTAGCCCCAGCGGCACAGGAACAGAAGCTCTTTATGCTCTTTAAACACGGAGCGAGTCCCGCGAGGCCGCGCTTCCCTCCCCTCGCCGGCCTCGCCCGCTGCCTGGCCGGGATATTTGAGTGCTTCCACGTGATTCCTAACGGCTCGGAAGATTTTTGTAACGTTTTCCATTACTATTACCAAAAAAAAAAAAAAAAAAAAAAAAAAAAAAAAAAAAAAAACGGGAAAGAAGCCCCTGGTGAAGCAAGCTTGGAAGTCACCAGCTCCACAGAACAGCCGCCTTAAAGCCAACTCAAACCTCTCCCCGAGCAGCTGACGTGTTCACTGGGCTGCAGCCCCAGGACAGTGCTGGGAAGCCTCTGTTCTGCATCCAGCCCTCGCTCCTGCCGCTGTTCACACAGATTCAGCCTTGGAAGTTGCATTAGGAAAAAGAGGCTGTGCCTTATTCCCAGCCGCAAAGGAGGAAAGCTGGGGAGCAGAACTGTGCTGAGTCCGTGCCCAGCCAGCCCCGTTTAGGGACTTTGCTCAGACTGGCTCTTCTGGTCCTGTAAGTGAAGATCAATAGCAGGTGGAGGTCCCTTATGAAAGGGGAGAGCATCATCACATCAAAGGAGGGGATTTTGGGAGCTCCGTGGCTGCTCCTTGATGTGAGCCAGCCTGGGGAAGATAAGGAGATGGTTTCCAACAGTCCTCGTGTCTCTGTACCAACGTGGATGCCCTGGGCAGCCACCACAGAACATAGCCAAGCTTTCCCTGACAGCACAAACTCCCAAATCCTACTGTTACTGAGACCAGCAACCAGCCAGTAAAAGGGTTCCTGCTAACAGCCAGGCTGTAAAACCAGACGTAAATAAAAATAACTCCTCCTGCTCGTGCCACGCCATGTCCCTGCCTCGTGGAAGCCCAGAGCAGGGAAAACCCGAAGCAGGGAAAACCCGTACTCACATTAACGATGGTAGAGACGAAGAGCAGCACCAGCACGGTGACGTGGAGGACGATGATCCCCAGCAGCAAGAGCAGCATCTTGGCGGTGGTGGAGGGCAGAGCTGCAGCGGGACAGGGAAGATGCTGAGTGTGTGTGTGTCTGTCTGTCCGTGCGTCTGTTCGGGGGCAGCAGGAACGCTCCGCTCTACCCCACCCGGCACGGGGATGCTGCTGGGGCACTGCCGGGGTTCTCTCCGCTGAGGGTCCGAACCCTCTGCCCGCTCCCCGATGTCCCCCGGGGGTCCCCCGAGACCTTCCGCCGAGCCTGTTCTCCCTCTCCCACCCAGGGGGCTCCTCCCAGTCCCCTCCCCGGGGACCTTCAAAGGGGGGGCGCTCCCACAGCCCCTCTCCCCGAGAAGGGTCCGATCCCCCTCTCCAACGGGAATGTGCTCCCCGCCCAAGCCCCGGTTGAGGGCTCGGTCTCGGCGCATCGCACCCGAGGGGCTGCCCCTGCCCCGTTCCGCAGGGAAAGGAGGGCGGGAGTGCCTTGCCCACCCACCTATGGGAGCAGTGTGATTCTGTCGGCCCCCACCCCCAGGGGGAATTTTACCGGGGTCATCTGCCCTGGCGACCCCCGGAGAGAGGGCAGGGGGCGGGGAGTAGGAGCGATAGTCCCTGCCCTCGGCCCATCTCCCCTCGGCTGTCCCAGCGGAGACTCTCCTGGCCCCTGTCCCGAGCTGAGGGGGAAATTCTCCAGGCCATCTCCCCCTCAGTGAAGAGGAGAGGGAGACCTGCCCTGACCCCTCTGCTTAGAGAAGCCCCAGAGCGGGGCTGCTCCTCCCCTCCCCCTCGGCTGCGAGTCCCCGGCGAGTCTCTCCAGCCCGTGTCCCCCCCGGTGCGCCCGCTCCCCCGGCGGGGACGGGCGCTCCGTACTCACATCGCGGCGGAGCGGAGCGCGCTGGCGGCGGAGCAGCGGGCGCGGAGCGGAGCGGGCGGCGGCGCTGTCAAGTTTCCCCTTTAACAGGGGCCACCGCCCCGTTTGCGTCTGCGGCACGGGGAGGGCTCAGCCGCCGCCCGCCGCCCTCCTATAAATGGGGCAGCGTCCGGCCCTGGCCCCGCCGCCTCCCCCCGGGACACGGCCGGGAGGCGCTCACGGAGCCGCCGCGGTCCCCGGGACACGGCTCCCGAGCCGCTCCCTGCCCCGGCCGCTCCCGCCCGACAGCGAGGAGATTGGAGAGAGAACAAGAGACGGGCACCGCGTTCTCCTGAGCCCCCACTGCCCAGGCAGCCGTGGAGCAAGGCGGGGGAGAGGTGGCCGTGCCCCGCTCTCCGAGCAGCCCCCGTGGGTAGGGGATGTCCCACAGCGTGGGTGCTGCAGCCCCGGGGTGTGTGAGCAGGACCGGCCGGTGTCCGGAGAGGACAGAGCTCTCCACATTGGGGGTCCTCTCACCCCGGCCCAGGGGGTTTGTGCAGGCCTGGGCAGGATCCGTGGCACAAGATTTGGGGAACGAGCATCTGGCTGAGCTGAAGAGATTCTAGCACTTGGAGTCGACCTTTTTTAGCATTTGAGAGCCAAATTAGGTAGAACTGAGCAACTTTTCACTAAACGGAGGGTGCAATTTTCCACAGTTCTGGAGCACACTCAGAGAGTTAGGACTGGAGAAGGCTCTGGGGAGAGCTGAGAGCCCTTCCAGTACCTAAAGGGGCCCCAGAAGAGCTGGAGAGGGATTTGGGACAAGGGATGAAGTGCCAGGACACGGGGAATGGCTTCCCACTGCCAGAGGGCAGGGTCATGTGGGATACTGAGGAGAAATTCTTCCCTGTGAGGGTGGGCAGGCCCTGGCACAGCTGTGGCTGCCCCTGGATCCCTGGCAGTGCCCAAGGCCAGGTTGGACACTGGGGCTTGGAGTAGCCTGGGACAATGGGAGGTGTCTCTGGCCATGGCAGGGGTGGCACTGGGTGATCTTTAAGGTTCCTTACAGCCCAAACCAGTCTGTGATTCTCTGACTCAGGTGCTCGGGAAGGAAGGGGTGGCTGCTCTGCCGCCCTCTCTCATTCCATCCAATCTGTTCAGACAACCCCCCCTCACACACAGAGTTCACCCCCAGTTCCCAAATAATCCCGCCAGGAGACCTGCATGCTCTTGAGCACTAACGCAAATCCCCAACCCTCCCCTCTCCGCGCACCAGCTCCAGACTCGTCCCGCATTGTTGCACAAACGAGGGAATTCGGCATCCAGCCACCGGGTCTGTAAATCTTGGGAGAAGGGAGCTGGGGAAGCGTGCTTGGCTCCTCTCTCCTGGCAAGCAGAGCCGTGTTCCCGCAGCACGGGCTCCTCACACTCACGGAAGGGGTCCCGGCACAGGCTCCAGCCAGGCAGTGGGAGTGGAGCTGGGAACACCCGGGGGTTCGGGGGAGAGAGGCAGCGGCTGAAACGAGATTCCAAAGGATGCGGTTTCCCTTTCCCTCCAAAAAATCTCGCCAATTCCTCTGCTGCTACAGCCCCTCTGCACCCTGTGACGCCTGTCGGTGCCATCCAGAGCACCGAAACATCCGCGCCACCATCAGAACGTTCCTGGCTAACGAGGCTGATTGGGCCGGGTGCCTGAGGGAGCCCCTCCGCTCGGGGCTGAGACAGAAAGGTCTTGTCCCCAGGGCTGCGATCCAGGCTCTGCTAGAGACTGAGACTCAGTTTCTGATCTCGGTTTGCGGATCTGAGATCTCGGCTGTTGTTTCCGGACAAAACATTCAACCTGTTCCCTGGAGCAGAGCGGGACGCAGGGTGGGGGAAGGCTTTCGGAGGTGTGGGGGTCACAGACAGCTCCCGAGCTCCTCCGTGAGCGCGGGACAGCAAAATTGCCCCAGCTCCGCTTCTGAAAAAGATGCATAAAGCAGCTTTTTAAGCGTGGGGAGAAATACCTGAAAGTCATACCAGGAAAAAAAGCAGTTTGTAGGTAACAAAGCCAGTTTTGGCTGAGAGCCGTGGATTGGAAACGGTGGAGAATGCCCAGAAAGAAGAGCCCTGCTCCTAGCACACTTCTTTTGGAAAGGTGCACTGTTCAAACCGAGCAGGGCTTTGGACAAACATCAGCTGCTGCTGTGAGTGCTGTGACAGAGCTCTGGCACCGGGCTGGGGCAAGGCTCCTCTCCACGCTTTCTGTCAGCCAGAGATGCTGGAGGGAGCCTGTGCAGGGAAGAGAGGAGGCGAGGAAGTGAGGATGGTCACAGCGGAGCCCTCGGGGAGTGAGGATGGTCACAGCGGAGCCCTCGGGGTTCTGCTGGAGAGACAAGGTCACAGCCAAGGCGGGACGGGCTGCAGGCGCTCCCGACGCTCCCCGGGGCTCGGTGGCAGTGCCACCCCGCCGAAGTCAAAGCAGGCGCCACAATAAATTGGAAAAATGTTTTGTGTACAAACAAGATTCGCCACAGGCTGTGCTGGGAACACTGGAAGATTGACGAGTTGTATAAACTCTGGGTAAAAAATGTGGATTTCTCACTTTGAATCTATTGCATAGGACTACTTCCAATAAACATCAGTTTTAGCTTGAAGTTCTAGAATAAAATGATGAGAATCCAGGAGGCAAAGTGGGGTTTCTATCACTTTATGGGGCTCAGATGCTAATCTGACAAGGCAGGGATGGACTGAAATGGATCTAATGCTCATTTAACTGTGAGGCATCAATGGAACCAGCACATCAGGGCTCTGCTCATCCCTTTCCTCGGGCCAGGTGAACGAAACCCCTCTTAAGACAAACCATTCCCAACTACACAAAAAGGCAACATTTCCTCTGTATGTCTTTGTGAGGATGAACTTGTTTAGTCCCACATTTTGCTCTCTCATCACAGTTTTAGGGACTCGCTTCCTGTTCCCTACCCTGGTGATTAAGACCATGAGCGTGGAGAGTTTGAAATGCAAAGGGCAGGGGCCGAAATCGGCGCTGCCTTCAGCAAACCCCTCCTGCCGTTCGCTGGGGGCTGGGGAGGGAACGAGGCGGGGAAAATCCTGTTTTCAAACTACTGTGCCACTAGGAGAAGGAGGAGAGCAAGATATGGTTTGCACTTCATGCAGGATCTATAGTGTCCCCTCAAAGAACACATATGCAGATGTGTATATATATATATATATTATATATATATATGTAAATATATAAATATATTCAAATGTATAGATATATATAGATGTAAACATATATTTACACCGGTGGAATGGGTATTGGAAAAATATTACAACAAGAAGAAAACATAAAGGGAGACTTTCTATTCAGCAAACTTCAATAACAAAAGGTGTAATGTATCTTGGAGGGATTGACTTATTTTTCCTGACTTGGTTTCTACAAGTTCAAGAAGAATTTGTAAAATACTTTAGTCCTGTCTGCATTCATGACCCCAAACCAACTTCATCCAACTTTTTTCTTTCCTTTCCAAGCCAGTCATCAGCACTGATAGAGCCAGGCTGAAATCACTGGAGAAAATCCCACTGACTTCAAGGAAACTAAAATTTACCCACGGACCCCAAAACCCTCAAAAAATCAACTGAGCTCCGCAGCTGGAACTGTGAACATCCTCAGATAGTTTCTGAGCTGCTGGTTCATGCTCCTCTCCTGGCAGCACAGAACAGATCCCCCAGAGGACACAGGTCTAAACCAGCTTCGAGCCACACTTTTGCCCAAACTGTTGACTTTTACACATCTGGCTCCAGCGGTGCCAGATGTGGCCCCTTTTTCAGTCCTCTCCAGGGTCCCAGAGTTGCCACTGCTGCTCTGAGGGTGTGGATGATCTGTGCCCCGCAGATCCCTGCTGAGGAACACAGCAGATGCTGCACGAGCTCCAAGAGCAATTTGAGCAAGAGCATGTGAAACAAATCCATTGGGGGATATTAAACCCAAGGACAGCCCTGTCTGCTCAGGAAGTCCTTGGGATACTAATCACTGGAAGCTGGGAAAGTGGACTGGGAGAATCTCACAGAGCTCTTGCTGCCTTCTGGTGCTTTTATCTCAGCATCTCCTGTTGGCTCTGGCAGAGGCTGCACCAGAGGCTGCACTTTGGCCTGAGCTAGCACAAGCATTTCTGTGATCCTACACTGCCCAAATTTTCCTTTAGCATTTTGCCAAAGTTTTCTCCCTTTTTTCCATAATAGCAATGAGTTTAGGATGGGTTTTTTTCCTGACTGCTGATGCTGTTTGGGGAATTCTCTCTCCCTTGAGCACAATAATCTGCACTAGTTATGCAATACATTGTTAACATGGGTTTTGGCAAGCTTTGATTTCACCCAAATTCATATCAGACCCTTCCAGGACATTCAATGGTTTTTGTTTTCTTAAACAACAAAACCTCCTTTCTGAGAAGTTTCTTGCTAGCCTGCCTGGAGTGTTCACCTGGATCCTGAAACTGAAACGAAGCAACAGTGTCCTGGGTTTATTAATATATTGTCTTTCCTCCAGTCAGTAAACAATTAATTTACACACCCAGCTCTGCAGCAGTGATGCAAATGGAATGATGCAAAAGGGTGGGAATATGGTTGTAAGATGCAAAGGAATTTCCACAGAGTTACTTTCTCAGCAACTTGGCTGATAGAGGCAGCAATAAACCAGCAATAAATAGCAATAAAAGCAGACACATCGTTCTTGTGGAGAAAAGAGCCATCCCCTCAGTACAGAAAGGTGGAAGATGGGCCTGGACTATGATTTAGAAGTGATCCCTGAAAGGAAATCATTTAATGGCAAGGCAGCAAAGGCATCTTAGCCATCAGCAGGAGGAGGCAGGGCTGTTGTTTCATCTCCTAGAGCACATCAAAGGCTGCTCAAATCCCAAAGCCAGCCCTGCAGGGATTAAATGGAGCAGCTTCACTCAGCAACAGCTCTGTCATGGAAAGCAAATCCCTCCCTGTGCAGGAGAGCTGGCCACGAGCCTCGTGTTCATTGAAATTGCACCCAAACACTCTCCCTGCAGAGCCATTCGACAGGAGTTTGTGGCAGGGCAGGTTCCCCTCAGGGGAAGAAGGCTCACACTGAAGCACACATAGGATGCCCTGATCAAAGTGTCTGGTGGAATTGGGATATATCAGCTGCCAGAAGAAGTAACATCAGTACTGTCAACTTATGGAAAACTGGCGTGGAGAGAACGAAACCCCAGAGGGAGCTGGGAATTCTCTAACGTCTGGGAAATTGCTGCAGGAAAGTGGAAAGTATTTGTGAAAGAAATTAGAGGAGCTGAAGCTGAAATTCCTCTGGTCATGGCTCTAACAGAGGAAAGAAACTCTTTGGCAGTGCTGTGGAAAGGAGCATCAAGAGGCCAGGACAGCAAGAGAAAATGGAGTTGGGTAATTGCAGCACCACATAAATGCTGGCAGTTAGGAGAAAGCCCTAAAGGAGCTGGGTCAGTGGGAAAGATCAGTGTTTGAGGAGCTCCAAAAGCAAAATTGGAGAAAAGTGGAGACTGATCCTGGCGTGCCCTCACTGTAAAACAGAGCTCAGATATTTTTAAAATGACTCAAAAACAAAGGTGGAAGTGAAACGAAGGCAAAGCTGTTGCTGATACCAGGACTTGGCTCTGGGTATTCCAAGGCTGGAGCCTTTCAGCAAAGGGCTGTGGGTGCCTCTGCGCCCCACACTCAGCTGGGGACAAACTCCTGGGGCCCAAAAGCCTGGTAAGTTTGCCTGAGCACATCTGGAGTGGGTCTGCAGACAAATGGAGGAGCCAAAATCACCAGGGGCTGGGAAGGCTTTGGGCAAAGAGCAAAGACAGAGAACAGCAGGGAGCCACTGACTTCTTTGGGAGGCAGGAAAGTGGAGAAAGGGAAGGTGAAATCAGCTGGGCAGTTTCTCCTGCTCACAGTTGTCTCTTTCCTTTGGAAAGGGAGGCTGCTGCCTCCGAGGGATTCTGGCCCCAAGACACACAAAGTAGAGGAAATCTATTTTTAGTCTCGACAAAAGTGCTAGTAAAGAAAAAAAAGGTTAGAAAGACAATTGCTTCCTGTTTAGGGCTGGTGCTGGGAGGGAGATCCTGCCAGGGCACTGAGGCCAGGCAGGAGCTGGGGCCAGGGAGGGTGAGGAGGGCAGAGGGGGGTGAGCAGGAATCATCTGGGGATGGGAGACAAGGAAAGAGCTCCCAGCTCCTGCGAGCCCCCACGCTGGGCTGGTGGTCCCTGCCCTGGATTCCCGAGGGAGGGAGGGACTCCAGCCCCTTTGGGATTCCTGGTGCCCACAGGCTTTAGGCTGAGCTCAACAGCTGAGGTTAAAAGACTCAAGAGATATAATAGTCTAAGGAGAAAAACTGCAAAGTGGCTTTCACACTCACCCTCAGTTTGATTGAAGACTTATCCCTCTGAAAATTCCAATACTTGGTCAAATCAGTTGGATTTGCAGCAGGAGAGAAAGCTCTGTGCAGCCAGAGGGGCTTAAACACCAATTAATCTCTTTGTCTTCAAAGTGCTTTGGTGCTCCCAACAAACTACACGTGAGAGGTTAAATTAGGAACCCAAAGTTAAACCCACAGCATTTTCTTCGATGAACTTTCTCCAAGTCGAATTTACTTCCTCTTTTTAAGACTCCAGCACTGACATTTTTGATGGCATTCAACATTTTTCAAAAGCAAGACAATTATCATTAGAAATCCGCTTAAAATGCACATTTTTCTATTTTAGGAACAGCACAAACTGCAACTCTTTCCGGGACACTTTGTGTTTCTTCTGCTGCACCATTAAAAATCCATCCTGGATGTCAGCAGCTCATTATTCTGACAAGTAGCTTTACTTCCCCTTGTGCCTTTTCCACATCACACACACTCAAAAGGAGGAAGATGCGACAGTTTTTCTCCTGAAAACACAGACTGGAAGGGGAGGGATGGATCCCCGTGGGTGGATTTGGTGACATACAGGATATTTTCAGCTCCTTCCTGGCACACAGTGAAAGAGAAAATACAAAGGGACAGAATCATCCTGGTAACCCAACAAACAAACCGCTCAATTTCTACCCCGAGTTTACACCAGGAAATGAAATCCTAACAAATCTGTGAAATTGCAACAATGTATTTGAAAAGAAGCTGAGGGAAAGTGGGGATGTGTCCCTCCACGGTGCTGAGCGCTCAGGTGAGTCCTGCTGAGACATAGCCCAGGATCTGCACGGTGCTGGGGTAGCTCTTGCGCATGCCCATGCAGCGCTCCTGGTCGATGAACAGGGAGTTGTTCTTGACCACCAGGTCCTGCTCCAGGACCCCCTTGGAGCGCACCAGCATCTGCAGCATGTCCTCCGAGGCCCGCAGGCACTGGTGCAGGTTCCGCAGCGTCTCGTTGATCTCGTTGACCTCTTGGACAAGGCTGGAAGACAGCAGGAGCTGGTCAGAGCACCAGGGAGGTGGTGCCCACCCAGATGGGCCCTCTGGGCACACATCACATCACCCATCAGCACACAGCACACACCAGCACACGCAGGCTGAATCCAGCACCCTGTGGCCTGCTATGGGACAGCCTAGGACAGAGCTCCTCCCAGCCTCCACGGGGAGGAGTGGAGAAGTTTGCTCCAAAGCTCTGGATGTGTTCAGCCACATCTGCCAAAGCAGTTTGTGCCACCGGGGACAGGGATGAGCAGCTATGGTATCCTGGTTCTGTTTGGCTTTGTGGCTTTGTTCCCCCTCCTGGATTTCCCCATGCAGGGGTCCTGCACAGGAGACACATGCAGCAGGACAGGACACTGGGAGAGGCTAAAGGGAAGCATGGAACAAGTGGAGGATGGAAAAACCAGTGGCATGTGAGATGCTGAACCAATTCCAGGGCTGGATTTAAATCACTTTGAAAAGGGCCCCCAGAAGGAGCTGTGAGCTTTCGGTGCCTCCCAGGGCTGCTGCTGGGCACTCCCTGGGGCACATCTGAAAGTCCTTGAAAGGATTTCCAGCGTGCCCACCGAGGGGAGGACAGCTCCACATGTGCACTGCTCCTTGGAGTTACCCAAAAGGAAGGGCTCAGTACTCTCAATCTCAGCCTGTCAGAGAGTAGAATCATGAAATCATAGACCAGAATCTCAGAGCAGTTTGGGTTGGAAAGGACCTTAAAGCCCTTTCAGTGCCATCCCTACCATGGCCAGGGACGCCTCCCACTGTCCCAGGCTGCTCCAAGCCCCAGTGTCCAACCTGGCCTTGGGCACTGCCAGGGATCCAGGGGCAGCCACAGCTGCTCTGGGCACCCTGTGCCAGGGCCTGCCCACCCTCACAGGGAACAATTAGTTCCCAATATCCCATCTATCCCTGCTGTCTCTGAGTTTAAAGCCACTGCCCCTTGCCCTGTCACTCTCTGCCTGTATAAAAGCCCCTCTCCCTCCTTTCTCTAAGCCCCCTTAGCAGGGAGAGTAAGAGGCTTATCCTCCAAAACTGAGCACATTCAGCCACCTGGATGAGGCAGGAGAGAAGATGAGGTTTACCCAAGTGGGAAAATTCCATCTCCCTATGGGGTGGCATCAGGCTGGACCCAGCCATGGTGCCCAGCCTCTGTCACCGGTGCAGAGCTCTCCCAGCACCCAAGGGATACCTGCTCAGTGCTTTAGATCTGATCAGAGCATGTATAGAAGGAATATTCAGGGGGGAAAAAATCCATTTTGTCATGCAGAGATGCTCCTGAGTGATCCCCCGAACCCTGGCAGCCTTCAGCCCAGCCTCACCGGATCTGGGCAGCGTCCCGGCACAGCTCCACGTTGGGTCTCCTTGTGCGCTCATCCAGCCGGGTTTGAGCCACCTTCAGCTGAGCCTCTTTGTCCTTTATGGTCTTCTGGATGACCTGGATCTTTGTCTCGATCTGGAAGATTTCCTGCCGTGTCTGGGGTGAAACAAACACAGGTATCAATGAAAAAAATAACTTCTCAAGGGATCACATCATTCCCTTTTCTCCTGCTTGTGCAGAAAAAAAACCCAAGTTCCATAAACAGCCCCTGGGCTCAGGCCACTCTTGCTCTGCCACATCAAGGCACGGATCCAGCAGAGATTTTCAGGGAAAATCTCTTTGGTCTTGCTGCCACATCAAAGGAGAGTTAGGAGCAGAGGAGGTTTAGGAGCACTGATGGATCTATTGAATTACCAGCTTCCCAAAACCGCTGCTTGCAAGAATGGATCATCCATCAGCTACTACAAGGAAAGGTTTTAATGGCTCCTCATTTAAGGATGTGGCATCAGCCCCTAGTGCTGCAAACTTAACCAGTCTGAGCCCTTCCCAGGAAGCTTCCCTTGAGTCCTGAGCCAGGTCCCCTCCCCGCTCTACCCCTGCTGTGCCTGGCAGGGCAGGGCGGGGAGCCCAGGCCATCCCTCGGGAGGAGGGGGTAGGGCACCTTGGCCAGGTGTGTCTGGATCTTGCTCTTGGCGTTGGCGGTCTCGGTGATGCGGCTGGTGAAGGCGTCGTTGACCTTGCTGAACTGGCGCCACATCTCGTCGGCCGTGCCCATGAGGAGGCTCTCGGTGCTCGCCCGCAGCTTGGCCGAGGTCGCCCGCGCGCTCTGCGAGCGGAAGATGTTGTTGTCCGTGAACCTGGCCCACGTCTCGGGCACCGAGACCCTGCGGGGAGAGCACACGCCTTAGCAAAGCCACGCTGCTGAGCCTGATGCACGTGAAATCTGTGCTCTTAATTAAATTACGTGGAAGTGAAACATCTGGACCCAGTTTGGGTGATGATAGTTATCAAATGAGGGCGTGTGCACAAAGAGAACTTGTGAAAGCTCAGACAAACAAAAGATTCTCCCATAAACAACAGAGATTCCAATCGGAGCTCTGAATTACACCTTCGAGGCATTAAGTGCCAAGGAATTCCCAGCCTCACAAGGACACACGGATCACAATTCAGTCAATTCCTTTTGCTAACAGCCCATCTCAGTCTCCCACTAAACCGAAAGAGCTTTTAGATCCCACTCCATTCCCTGTCTGTGCATTTGGGATGAAGTTCCTGCCTGTGCAGTAGTCCAGAACAAGGTCAACAAAAGACTTAAATACCACATAAGCTCCATTTAAAAGCTGCTGATTCTCTGCACATTTTACCCCCCTTTGAATTTCAGCCTCAATCCTTTGCAATCCATTTGCCTGTCTAAATATGTCTGAGTTCTACTGTGAATAATTATTCAAACTACTAGAAAAATGGTCTCAATCTGTGCCTCTCCATAAACTTTATGGGTTTGTGTGAGCAGATTTATTCTCTCAGCCCTCTGCCACTTGGGCATCTCTCTGTGAGTACTGGGTTAGGTCACTGTTCATTTACTTCAGCGTCAAAGCTCAATTTCTAGCACCCAAAAGCAGCTGAATCCTGTCCCAGGACCATGGTCTCATTTCTTGATTTTCTGGGTCATTTCAGCTCCCTGCCAGGCCCTCTCCATACAGGAATGAGCCTCAATTAGTGAGGAGCACTCAGGCAAGCACTGAGACATCTCTGAAAATATGCATGAACTTAATGGGCTGTGCAGAGGTGCTGGGCTGAATTAGTTTGCAGGCTGAGCCCTGATCTAATATTTAATTAGGTCGGGCTCGCTTTTGCCTGCCGGGTGTTCAGCATCCAGCTGAAAGCAGAGGGTTCTTCTCCCCCTGGAGAGCCCAGAGGGAAACAATCCCTGGAGGCGGCTGTCTGCAGGAGGGGTGGAGGTGCCATCAGAGAGGGCTGGGAAAGCCCAGCTCCCTGCCAGGCCAGGCTCTGTGCCTGCCAGGCCCCAGTGCTCACGTGGCATCGATCCTCTCCACGCCCTTGAAGAAGTGGATGTCTCTGGAGGTGTTCTTCAGCTGGTAGCACTTGCTGTCGATGTGGTGGCCCAACTGCTTGTCAGCCAGGTCCTTCTCCAGCTCCTGCCGGGCCTCCTTGTTGCACCTGGCACACACAAACAGCAGCCCCAGTCGGGATGGAGGTGTGAAATGGTTTTCTGCCTATCCCGCTACCCTCAGCCCCTCCGTGCTCCCGGAGCACCCCTGCCTGCCTCCCCAGAGCCTGCAGCGTTTTAACCTCGTGGGTTAAACCAGGCTAACCAGGGAGAGGTGCAGCAGGGGGGCAGAGCACAGCTGCAGACACACATCAGCCCTGCAGCCCAGAGCCCTCCTTACATGAGCTGGGCATTCACTGTGTCCAGGCACTGCTGTAACCTCTCCCGGCAGGACCTGATGATCTTGATTTCCTGGGCAAAGGCAGAACAAACCCCATCAGCATTGGTGCTCAGACACCCTGGGCACCACTCCCCTCGGGCCTCGCACACAGCAGGAACTTCCCCTTCCCCCACAGCAAACATGGGGTGCAGGAAGGGACCCCAGCCCCAGTGCACCCATCTATGCAGCAGAGCCATGCCCAGGGACCAGGAGGGGACAGCAGGGGGCTGTGGTCACAGCCAGGGCCTCTGAAATCACTTTCAGGGTGGGTTCCCAGGTGTTTTCATCTTGACATCAATGGCTGGGGCTGTTCTCCATTACAAGGAGACAGGGCTGGATCCTGACCTGACATGAACAGGAACTGTGGTACCCTGGGCCAGCAGTGCCCTGGGCCAACAGCCAGACATCCCCATCCCAACCCCGGGGAATTCTCCTGCCTACAAGAAATCCCATCCATATGGGACAAGAGGACTCTGGTGTAAACCCCCAGTCAGTTCTAGGCAGGGTTCAGCTCCCCTGGAGGAAGGCTCATGCTGCTCTCAGCTCCCTTGACTCCAGCACAAGCCTGTTGCACCCATGAAGGTTTCCGGAGACAGGTGATCACTGCTCCAAACCCAGGGATTTTCAATCCCTCCTGTTTGCAGGAGCCAGCTGAAAGCACAGCCTAAATGCATCCCAAACATTCAAAAACCCAAATGGCATTATGGAGATACAAGCTCTGATAATTTTCCTAAACCCTCATGACCTTAAAACTAATCTTTTAATTTTTCAGGGCCTGACTCATAACAAAAGACCTTCTAAGAGAGCAGTGGCTTCACAGGCCCAGGGGCTGCAATTTCTTTCCCAGTTTTGTGAGGCTTTGGCAGTGATACTCTGCATTAGGATCCCATTTGCTGTGCCATGTTTGCTTTTAATTCATGATTTAAAGCAGCCTAGATAAAGGCAGGCAGGAGTGCAGGTTTTTATGATTTCTATCAAATCCACTGCCCGAGCACACAGTGACAGTCCTGCTGCAGCCACTCTGCCCTGAGCAAAGCAGAGCTGGGGGAAGTGCAATTAACATCTTTTATTAGAGCAACTAATATAGCTGGGAAAGCAGACAAGCTGTCGGGCACACTCTGCCCTCTCCATCTGTGTGTGTGTAATATATAGAACGTGCTACAGATACAGAGATAGGTCATATAAATAAAGAGAGATCTGTGCAGGCAGGACTCTGAAAGGCAGGACCATCTCACAGACTCCTCCAAGAGGGTCAGAGGACCGGGACATGTCACACAAACCCGGCTCATTTCCAGCTCTTCCTTCCTCTGTCCTGGACATGCTGCTGGGTGGGAACCCCAGCAGGTTTGGGGGGTTGAAGAATTCAGCATCTCACCAGCACTGAAGAGCCACTGAGGGAACAGGGCTGCCAAACTTGTTTAGGGGAGTTTAGGTAAAAATAACTTAGACACAGGATGTGTGTTGCCAGACTCACTGTGAGGAGCTGTTTCTCCACGTCGTCATTGACCAAGTCGATGCCCATCCTCTTCTCCCGATTGAGTAAACACTTGTGAGCCACCTGTGGGGACATGTCGTGACATCAGCACTGGCTGCAGGGACAGTGCCATGTCAGGGAATGCAGGAAAAGAAAATACAGGTGGGCACAGGATGGCAGCCTGGAAAAAGCTGCCCGAGGCAGCTGGGTTAGCTGACAACAGCAGCGAGTGCAGCATCAGCATGAATCAATGGGAGGGAGCCCACGTGCCCCCAGGCCACCACAGCTGAATGCAGGGACCCGTGCCAGGCCCGGTGTTGACCTCCCCAGAGGCTCGTAGTAAGACATGGGACTTTTTGTCCCAAGCCGGGATTTTGGATATAGAAATATTTGGTTAAACAAACACAGCAGTGATGTGCTTAGCATGTGCTGGAGGAGGATGCAGCAGATGCAGGGGATTTGTTTATCACTGACTCAACTAATGGGCTCTTCATGAAAACTTTCCAACGTTACAGAGCTGGGATGAACTTTATGAGAGGTTTGAGTGGCTGCAGATGTTTGGGCTGGGGGTTGCAGGGTCCCTACCTGGAAGGGGCCCTCGGTGTCGGCCAAGGCTCTCTCCAGCCGTTTCTGCATATCTGCCAGGGAATTGGTCTCCCTGATCATGGCATCCAGCTCGATGCAGAGCTCGGATTTCCAGTACTCGATGTCGTTGACGCGCTCTCCCAGGTTCCTGGTGCTCTCGCCTTGGGTTCTCTTGGCCTGCTGGTACACGTCCTTGATGGCGCGGTTCAGGTCGGCACGCAGGCGCTCCGCGTTGTGCCGCGTCGTCTCCGACTCCTTGTAGTTGGTCATGTTGGACCTGTGCCAGTCATCCAGCGTGTGCCGGGTGAAGACACCGTTGGGTCTCTCAGAAATAAAAGGAACTATCTTGGTGGGGGGAAGCCCAGGGAAGTTTTCGGTGAGGGGAGCCAAGGTGGGGTTGAGGGCAGCTGCTTTGTAGTAGGAGTTGGGCATCCATGGCATGCTGAAGCTCTCGGGATGAGAGGGAATGTGGTTCTTGTTGGCAGCCACAGTGCTGGCAGCTGGCAGGACCTTGGGAGGTGGTGGTCGTGGCTGGTTAAACTTGGCTTTTAAGGGATAGCCATAGAGTTCCATCCTGGAATGCTGCTGGTGCAAGTCCTGCACAAAGGGAACAGAGGAAAACCTCACTCAGAAAGTTCCTGTCCTTGTGGTACCTCTTACAGCAACACCCAACTTGTGATGGGACCAGCCCTGCCCAGGGCACCCACACAGCCCCTAAATCTCCTGAATGTAAATCCCCTCTGACAGCATCCTAAGCATTTGGATAAGGAGGGATTTGATACCAACTTTGCTGTTGGTATCTTGTATCAGGTCTTGAAATGAGGAGAGAAATTAATAATGGCTGCTTAGGAGGATGACAGATCTTACACTTTTGTTTTCCTTATTCCTTAATTACTAATTTCCTATTATTCCTTCATTTTCCCTGTCAATCTAATGATCCCTGCTGTGAGGGTGGGCAGGCTCTGGCACAGGCTGCCTAGAGAAGCTGTGGTTGCCCCTGGATCCCTGGCAGTGCTCAAGGCCAGGTTGGAAATGGGGCTTGGAGCAGCCTGGGACAGTGGGAGGTGTCCCTGCCATGGCAGGGGTGGTCCCTTCCAACCCAGGCCAGTGAGTCTCATCTCAGATCTAGCCTGGCCAAAGGCTTTGGGATGGACAGTGGGACACTCATACCCTCAAATTCAGCACAAAGGTTGTCACAGGTGTTCCTGGCTCAGAGTCACTTTGGCAGACCTGAGGATGAGATGTCTGTGCTAAGCTCCAACAAAGCCCCTGCATGTGCTGCTCCCACAAGCCAGTCATTCCAGTCCTTTGTCCCTGCTGGGGACAGGCCACTGCCATTCCCTATCTCCATGCCACTTATTTACCTGGGGAGCAGCATTTGGAGAGTAGGAGATGCTTTTCCTGGCTCCCACCCTGCAAATAAAACCTTCCCCTTTAGACACTGACAGACAAGCGTTTAAGATAGAAAATACTTCGGGAATGGACTGGATTACTTTTCCCCGCATTTCCAGCTGAAATAAATGCCCTTGCATCCCCCTTGGGATAAACCATGCCAGGATGAGTTTCCAGCACCGCTGGGCAGGGGCACAGCCCGGGAGCTGCTGCCCAGCCAGCCTGGCACATGTGTGGGATGGAGGAGGTTTGGGGCTGAGGACAGTACCGGCTGTGCTGCTCCTCCCTCCCGGTGAGGCACAGCTCCCCCGTGGCTGAGCTCTGGGCTGGGAGTGCCTGGGGGTTCTGCTGCTCATCACTGGCTGCTGTGGTGGTGCTGGCACTGCCCGGCTCTGCAGGGCCCCGTTGCTATGGACGGGGGGTTCCGTGGCCAGTGACTGAGTTCTGGGGAGGTTCTGTGACACTGACCAGCTCTATGACCCGTCCTGCCCATTGACCCGCCCTGTAATGGCCACAGCAATGGTAACACAGGCTGCTGGGTGGGCAAACTAGGGCCAGTAAACAGCTCCCAGGGCATCCCAGTTCCTGCCCTGAACCTCCTGCCCTGCTGGGCAGCTTTGTGCAGCCCCTGGGCAACCAGGGGCAGGTGTTGAGTGGCAGGATAACACTTGTGGCTACCTGATTTAGGTGAAGGATGTCCTGCAAGGAGCAGGATCCTCATGGGTCCCTTCCAGCTTGGGATATTTTATGGTCCTATGAGCTCAGTGCCCTCAGTGGACAGCCCAGTGCCACCCCAGTGTCCAAGGCTAGGTTGGCCAGGGCTCTGAACACCCTGGTCTGGTGTGGGGTATCCCTGTCCATGGCAAGAGTTGCATAGATGAGCTTGAAGGTCCTCTCTAACCAAAAGCATTCCAGTCAGGAACTCAGTGCAGACTCTCTGTAACCCAGTGCCACCCCTGGGCAACTTGATCCCATCCCTGGGCAACCATCAGTGGACAACTCAGCATAGCCCTTGTGCATCAGAGCCACTCCTGGGAAACCAGTACCTCACTGGGCAACCCCGTGTCCTCACTGGTGTTCCTGGGCCAGCCAGAGCCTTCATGGGCTGGGTGGGTGCCCCAGCATGGGGGTGAGATGTCCCCAGGAGACCCACCCAGCACCAGGGTGACAAGCACCAGTGATCCAGTGACACTGGGAATATTTCTGGGAATGCTTTCCCAGTTATGTCTGGCTTTAGCCTGGGAAGGGGCAGACGGGAGGAGCTGGGAGGGATGTTGGGGCTGAGCCCAGGCACCCAAGCTCATCCAAGGGGGTCTCTCAGCTTCTGGGGACACGATCCAGTTCTGCTTCCATGTCTCACTTCATCCAGAGGGATATTTTCATTTCCTTCATTTCCTAGCTGTGTCCATGGCTGGTGTTTCTGCCCTCTCACAGCCTCAGTTTCTCCTGACTGTATCGAGGGGTTTCCCAGGTTCTGGTGACACCCTGGCCACTCCTCCCGAGCTGGGCTCCCCGGGCAGCTCTGCCTCTTGCCAAAGAGTGACAGAAAATGGAGGTCAAAGTGCTTCGTGTACACAAAGTGCAGCACATCTTCATTTCACATTAAACATCCGTCCTGCTTCAGGCGCGGGAAGAATCAGCTTCATCAACCTGAAACAAAACATCCAACACATCAGTTGGTTTTTCTACAGCCAAACCAGACAAATGATGGCAGTTAAAGCCTGCCAAGCTCTGTCCCTCAGCAGGACACCCACCCCGGGAGCAGCCCAGTTCTCTGCTCCCTGCACGCTCCCAGCTCCAGCTCGGCTCTCACGCCCTGCCCGTGGCTAATTCTGTTCAGATGAATCACTGCCCAGCCAGGGACACCACTAATTGTGGGAGGCAACCCCAGGGCTTTTGAAGTATTTGCTAAATTAGGCAATAACAATTTGATAATGTTGTAAAGGGCCCAGGGGTGCTCTGTGAAGCCCAGGCAGGACCTTTCGGGGCAGCAGCACAAGCAGAGGGACAGTGAGGACATCACAGTGGGCCGAGCTTAGGTCCCACCAGAATCACAGAATGCCCCGAGCTAGAAGGGACCCACAGGGATCGTTGACTCTGTCCCTGCACAGACACCCCAAAATCCCACCCTGTCCATCCCTGGCAGCGCTGTCCAAACGCTCCTGGAGCTCTGCCAGCCTCGGGGCTGTGCCCATTCCCTGGGGAGCCTGGGCAGTGCCCAGCACCCTCTGGGGAAGAACCTTTTCCTAAATCCACCCTAGACCTCCTCTTGCACATCCTAAAAGCTGCAAAGATGAGAAGAATTGGCACAGGTAACACAGTCAGATACCACAAGCAACTCTCAAGTAGCTGCCAAGTGCAGAGTCGGTGATGCCAAAATCCCAGATCTCTGAATACCAGGCTGTTTACACCACCACCATTTATTCGAGTAATTGAACCTGTTCCTTAATTCTGACTACAACTCCAACAGCTGCAACATCACTAAAATTACAAACTGTCCCCACCCAGTTGTGCTGGGGCACATCCAGTTTGGATGGACACGTGAGGACACAGCTTGTGCTGAAGCCTCGAATAAAAGAATAAAACCAGGCTGAACCCGGGAAGCTGGTGGGAAGCAGAGGTGCCAGTTCTCAGCAAGGCAGCCCAGCCTAGCCAAACTAGAATTTCAAGGGATACATTTAGATACCTGAGTACAAAATCTACTGCCAAGAGCTGTCAATCTTTTGTGTCACAGCTCTACATTCTGCTGTCTATTAATACAGCATTACACTGGGTCAGAAGCTGCCCTGCTGAAAATACCCAGATCCAGATCCTTGAAAGCACCCCCTGTGAGCCTGCACGTAGCCAGAACAGCCCAGTCACTCTTAGGCTCACGTTTGAATACTCCTCTGTCTCCCATAAATGCTGCACCTGCCTGAAAGGGATCAACTGTTCATTCATAGAGCCACAGAACCCCAGAGTGGGCTGGCTTGGATGGGGTTTGGAGCAGCCTGGGACAGTGGAAGGTGTCCCTGCCCATGGCAGGGGGTGGGATGAAATGGGCTGTAGGTTTCCTCCCAACCCAAACCATTCCATGATTCTGAGATGACTTTCACCTCTGAATATGAGGCTCTTAGAGAGAAAGCAATGAAGAGATCAAAAACAAACCAAAAGTAGGTTGGCAGCTGACTTATTCAGTCTAACCAGAGCAGCATTTGACTGAGCTTTCCAAACAATAAATGTGGCATGAATAAATCATCACAAATCCCTCTCTGAGCTCTCATGATGAGTCACAACCACCAAACCACAGATGCTCAGGGCAGGCTCTGCTCATCCCCAAGGTTAAGCCTGGGATCACTCCTGTAATTACAGCAGCAGTGACCTCAGAAAATATCATCGCTTACTAGTGATGCTCTCAGCAGTGCCCAGGAACCATTGGAAATAAAAAACTTAGTTCAGAGAGAGCCTCCCTCCAGCCTCTTCAGTCCCTCCTGGGCTGGGGGAGCTCTGGGCTTTGCTCCCTGCACTGGGGGCACTGCAAAGTCCTGGGCAGTGGGGCCGGCGTGCTCTGAACTGCACCCAACAAGCCCAGGGGCTCTCACAGCACAGAATCCCCCAGCTGCACAAAGCAGCAGGTGTGGAGCAGGAGGACACAGCTCCGTGCACCGCCTGAGCCACAAAGAAGCTGCAGACCTTGGCTGGGAGATGACCAGGAACCCAGAGCAGGGGGTGCAGAGCATCCAGCACAGCTCTGCCCCCCTGTGATCTGACAGGAGCCCAGGGAAGTTTAGACCTTCCAGCCAAGCTCACACAAGGTCACACTTTGGGGTCACCTGCTTAGCACACAGAAAAGACCTCCTGAAACCATCCCAAGATTTTTCCTTTGTATATCCCACCTTGCTGCAGCCCTTGATTATCAAACCTTCCACCTACCCTGGGGCTGACTTCTTCCCAAGAAGGGCAGGCAAAACTGCTCCAGTAACTGATGGAGGGAGAAAAAGGGAAATGAACCCAGTCTCTCTACATTTACCTTGAAATATCCCACCTGTGAAAGAATTTAACCACGTGCTTTTTATTAACATCAGCCCCATTATTTCAGGGCAGTTTAAACACAAAATTTAAAAGTGAGCCCCAGCATCTGAGGTCTCTGAGTAGAAGTGGATGGCTCTGGTGACTGATGATCCACACATGCCTTAGTGCTCAGCTGCAGTGAGTTATTTGTGGCCTCTCCTTACACACTCCTCATTTCAGAGCCAGATGTGAAAGCAATTAACACACCGAGGGGACTCAGAGAGAGTCTGTGGGGCTTTTTATAGGTTACTGTTTTTTTCTGGACATCTTTTCTTGAGGTGAATTTTGGCAGACAGATCCAGGGCTGGTTTATATCATGACTGGCCATTGTTTAAAGTTTTTTATTGCTTTGGCAAAGGGCTTCATTGGAAAGGGAGGCAGTTACAGGACTTTTTTCCCTGTCATCGTATTCAGGCTGACTCCACAGGCAGCAAAAGGATCAAAATGTCTGCAGAGCTGATAGGAACAACCTCAGCCCCTGCCCCTGGGGAAATAGTGAGGGCTGAACACAATCCTGGTGGGGAAGGGCCCAGAAAGCTCATCTGGAAAAAAATACAAACCAGCATTCATGGAAATTGCTTTTAAAAAAATTAAAATCACAGAATGGTTTGAGTTGGAAGGGACCTTAAAGATCCTGAAGTCCCAGTCTCCAAAATCTCCTCACTTTTCAGCTCCCCTCCATGGTCATCCCAATGCCCTTCCCCAGGCTTTGGAGAGGGGGGAATGTGCCCTGCACGGTCCCCTGGCACAAGCTGGGGATGCTCCACGTCCTTTTGGTGCCACTCAGGACACGGCCAGAGGGGAGCCTTTGCTGCAGAAGTGCCCCTGACTCCTGGCCTGTAGAATCACTGCTACAGGAACTGCAATAATCCCATAATAATCCCAGCAGCCCCAAGTACCCGTGAGACCTGCAGCTCCAGAAGGGAATGGCCCGTGTGTCCCCTTCCACTGCTACATCCCAGCTCCAGCTCACGGGAAGGAAAACATCTCCCAGTGCACCCTTCTCTCAGTAAATGCCCAGGAAATGTTCCTGCTGGGAATGGCTGCAGAGAACTGCTGGGCATGGCACTGGAGCCATGGGATGCTGTGCTTGAGCTGCAGGAGAGGATCCATTCTGAGCCTGCAGCCCCACCATGCCCTGGCTGAGCCCTGGGCAGAGCTCCTGTCAAACCCCTGGTACAGCCAGGGCAGGGAAATCCAGCAAAACCCCCTCAAGGACCCAGTGAGCCGTGGGTGTGCAGTGCCCTGACTGCCCCAGCCCAGGGACACGCTGCCAGTGTCCACCCTGTCCTTCCCCCATGTCCCTCCTTCCCTGGCTGTAGGACACGGCCAACAGCTCGGGCTGGAGGAGAGGCAGCAGAGCGAACATCTGCAGCCCTGCCATCCAGAGCTGGGCTGGCAGAGCTGGGGGCGTTTACCTGGAGAAGAGGAGGCTCCAGGGAGAGCTCAGAGCCCCTGCCAGGGCCTGAAGGGAGATTAGAAAAAAGAGGGAGAGCAACTTTTTACCCAGGCAGAGAGTGACAGGACACAGGGAATGGCTCTCCACTGCTAGAGGGATATTGGGCAGGAATTGTTCCTGGGAGGGTGGCCAGGCCCTGGCACAGGGTGCCCAGAGCAGCTGTGGCTGCCCCTGGATCCCTGGCAGTGCCCAAGGCCAGGTTGGACACTGGGGCTTGGAGCAGCCTGGGACAGTGGGAGGTGTCCCTGCCATGGCAGGGGTGGCACTAGACGGGCTTTGAGGTCCCTCCCAACCCAAGTCTTTCTATGATTCTGTGATGTGCCCAGCGGACCTCAGAGGTGCAACCAAAACACAACCATTTCAATTCCAGCCGCTTTTATTTCAACTTCCCAAAATCCAGGTGGCCTTGGCTGGTTTGTCCCTCACACACAGAACAAACCAAGTGTTTGTGAGCACAGCTGGTTCTCAACACCAGCCAGGCTGTGCCTGACTTGTTGAACACCCCTGCAGAGGGATCACCTGCAGAGCTACTTCTGCTACAAATGTAGCAATTATTTCCCATTTCAGTATCACTCATTATTTGGGATCACTTGAGGGATTGTCAAACTCCAGACAACACTTTCTTTGATCAGATTTGCCCTGAGGGCTTTGATAAGCCTAATGTCTGTTTTTAAGAGCTGTTTTGATTTGCGATATGAAAAACTCCAACTACCTTTAGGTGCTGAGTAAGGACAACAAAGCTGCCAGGCTCACCTGGCCAAATATTCAGCTGGAATCAGAGCCTGGCTGTGAACTGTCCTTTCCTTTCAGAGAATTTGCTTTTCTTTCACACCGGTGCCTGGCCCCCGTAGCTGCCCCAGCCCAGCCAGGATGCCAGGCTGGATCCTGCATGGAAATGGGGCTGGCTCTGGCTCTGGCTGCGCTCCCAGCCCAGCCCTGAGCTCCAGCCTTCGGGCAGCGGCAGGGCCGAGGAGCACGCAGGATGTTTATCCTCCAAAACAAAGGGAAGCCATTCCCATGAAGAGATGAAAAATAATTAAGACAGCTGCGATCAGATCAGATCAGATCAGATCCTGCAAATGACTTGGTATGGTTTGTCAGGGTTTTTTTGCTGGAAAGGGCAGATCAGATTTCCCAATAA